TGGCCGCAAGCTTGAGACTCCTGCTTAGGGCGTCCCTCATTATCCTAAAGTGGTTCCGTGACATTAAAACTCAACGATTATTATTTATATGTTATCAATAGTGAGCCACAGTGGCACAGAAACACATTAAGTAAGCTCGGCGTACTCTCTCGAAGTGGTTATAAAACCATCAAGGAGAAAGTTCTTACCCGTAACCTAATTGCCTTACGAGGACACCTCAGCACTTTGGCACAAGAATGGGGTTTTGGGAATGAAACATAAAGGAGTCGGAAAACAATAAATAGAACAATTAAACAAAAAAGTGACTGTCGCGCGACTTTTTTTTTTTTTTTGCGCGCCACCCAGCCATCTTTGAAAGCCACCAAGACGATCGACAGAAAAGACATCACCGATGAAGGAAGAAAAAATATATAGAAAAGATCCTCAAAAAGGGATTCAAAAATGTTTTGTGAGCGCACAAAACGTACGATTCCGACTTTGATCATCTTGACTCTGCTGAGGCTTTGTTCCTTTTTTGGGCTGTGACAGGGCTTCCGGGATCGCTATAGCATACGCTTGACATCCATTTTTCGGTAAACACCAACAAAACCGATAGCATAAGATCCGTGAAGAGGGCTCTTAGACGCTATCGCAGTATTACACTAGTGAACAATAACTCTGCTTTTCCGGCCTTGCTTCTTTTCAGTGGTCTGGCAGAAGTGCATCACTTTCAAGAGGAAGCTTACAGTGGTTTCAGTACGGAATACAAAAAAAAACACACATACGCGATGGTTTCTCACTCGCACGCTTCTTACCATGTACACGCGATTCTCGAGCGTCAGCGATTCTAAATGATTGAAAACATTCTAACACATTGAAAAAAAAGCAAACTAATTTGATTCTGATTCCGCTTTGGAAGCCGATTACAACGCGCCGACGAATTCGACAGCCACAGCGAACAGAAGAAAAAAATGTGCGGGTTGGAATTGCACAAATGCGGTAACTTTTCTTCGATGACCCAGAAAGCTGGCGAGTTTTCCAGACAGAAACGAAAACCCAGGGCTGGGCAATCGCCAAGTTCCATACATTCGCCGTGTCGACCATTATATGATAAACGTGATCCGAAGATTGACTCCCGGCGCATCATTCGCCACCCGCTATCTCGGCGGTTGCCATGGCAACGACTGAGGACAGCGAGATGTCACGGTATGAACTTGTGTTCGGCGTCCAATCATGTGTATGTAGTGCGTTAGTCTGTTGCGCAGAACTTCGTAGGGGACCTGCAAAACGCGTCGATTCGCAGTACGAGTTTGAAGGAGGCTGAGGACGCTACGCACCTACCGCCGAACGAAAAACGATTTGCTAAGCCTCGTTGTCCCGATGCGTTGTTGCGAGCCATCCAAGTTCCCTATGCAGGAGAATGGTCCGTGAGTACAGCTCCGTGATTTTCAAGCCATCTTCTCGCCTTGTTCGATGTTTTTTGCGCAGTAGAAATTATAACGAAGGCTCGTAAGAATGCGCATTTAATGGCGACCTACACCGGCGCCTTTTTGTCTCTTAGTGCTGCCTTTCAGTTTATTTCGACGGCCGCTAGAGTTACAAGTCAAGAGCGTTGTCTATTGGACGAAATTACGTGAGCCGGTTGCTTATGTGCCACTACTTTTCACGAATTACTCCGGTGCACATGTGGCACTAGTGGCCTTACGCCTTGTTGACTGGGCGCCTGTGGCTTTATAAACACATATAAAACCAGCCCGCCACGTGCTCTTAACAAGCTTTCAGGGCTGGCATGCGTTTCGGGGCAGTCGTTCATTTGCGCTTATCACTCGGTGAGTGGAGCCGCGGTACCTGATGTAGTGGCACGCGCTGTTTGTGGTTGTTGTGCTTTTGTATTTGTCTCCCCTCGCTTTTGCAAGTATGTCGAGAAAATGTGATACCAAGGGGTTACAGAACAAGCTGCACGAGGCTTTGCGTCAACGCTTGTCTCCACTGTGCAAAGCTTTTCATACGCTATTATTTGCAGTCGCTGTCATTGCGCATTCGTCATAACGCCAACCTGAGTGCGCGTTTGCGGTCCACCCGCGGGAAATTTGAAATAGCGTGCGGGCCCGTAAGGCACCTTAGCGGCGACTCGGTCTTTGTTCTTGCGCAGCAAGTGGAGCGGTGAGTGCGAATCTTTCCCAAGCACCACACCCAGAAAAGCCGGTCGCCTGGCCGGGGGGCTGCTTGTACCCTTCTTATAGACCGAGCGTGCATCTGTCTTTGCGGGGTGCAAATGCTATTTTAAAGCTCCTGTGGCCCTCATATGCAAACGTGACGATCGCAACACCCGCTAATGAATAGCGTATACCTCCGAAAAGTCCCTATTAGAGCACGAAATAGGCGTATCCTATTCCATGAACCAAAACCCCGCGTACGCTATTGTAAAAAGGGTCAGATATGAAGCCTACAATCTGAATAAGCACTCTCTCAAATATAATGTACGCACAGCTTCGAGTCAGCATTTGTTGACACAGCACACACGTGCTTAGGCAGTTTTAGAATAGAGTAAAAAAAGTTTCCCGTTGACGCAGACTTATAACTTTAATGAACGGTGAATCATGTAAGTGCGTGCCCTGTGAGCTCCGGAGGTTGCTTGCAGCGCGCTCAAGCGAGAGAGGGAGCAAGCACAGCCGTTTCGTCAAGTCTTCTTATGGCGAGCAAGACCGGGGAGTCGAAACTTCCTACATCTCCCATGTATTCGCTCTCGCGTAGTGATGCGCAACGGCAGCGCCGGTTCTACCTCTGGCGGGGTAACGTATCTGGTGACGTCCCAAAATAGAGGGAAAGGATGACAAGTTGCGAGGAGGAGGGTTGCCACAGAAGCCCTCCTTTCCCACTTCGCATGCAGGCCGAATGCACTCGTTCTGAGATCCACTTGCCGCTTGCTCGAGGTGGCATTCCTAAAGTTTTGTTATTCTTTTTTTTTTTGCAAATTTTGTTCATGTGTTCTGAAGAGGCGAAAGTTAAGCTGATTGATGTTTCAGTGTACGACGAAACTCAATCTGCACAAATAAAATGAACTTTTTTAATAACACGTTTCGTATAAAAACATACACGTAGAGTGAAAGTGTCAATCTATAAAATCAGCTTTAACTTAAAACTGGCATATCAGCATAATGAGAAACATCGAACCCACAATATCATAACCAATGCAGAAATCAACAATTGCGAATAGGACACGTCGTATTTAAATATATCACGTTTGTTATGACGGCGTACATAGTTTTCCTATAGAAGCTGGGTACCAAACGAGACTACAGTTCACAGTCACGGAGAAGGTTGATGCGATCAGTAGATTCTTGAGAAAGAACGTCGCTGGAAACAGTGTTTCGGCAAGTTGACTTGGCCTCGTCAGGGCAACGGCGTTCCCTTGATGAGGTTAGCATGTCAAAACGTTGGCTTCACCGAGAGCCTCTGTGATATTTATAATCAATTTGTCCATCACAGGCATTTTAGTGGCAGCTAGAAATAGAAGTAAATACTCACAAAATAACAAAGAGCGGCAAAGAGATTTTTATAACCAGGTAGCAGCTCATATTTACTTGACATCATTTGAACTATACGCCAAAAGTTAATAAATTGTTAAAACTATATAGCCGAGCCAACTCGAGTTCAAGCCCTTCAATAAACGGATTTTCCCGACAGGAGCTTGGCTGCCGTCTTTTCCAATCAGTCAAGTGACACTGCTCTTCTGTAAGTTCAGTCAGACTTTCAGAGAAGTGAGTTTACTCATGTACTTATGCACAATCAAGTTCTTGTGCTCACCGTTGCCTTTAAGAAACGCTGAGACACCTTCGCGGAACTAGAAATCACCGGGTTAGCACGCCGCTGAGCAGCGGCGTGCTAACCCGCGAAGTGTCTAAATCCCCACGAAGTGTGTTGAGAATTGAAGTCTCCGACCATTAATATTTCTTTTCTGCCAGACGAAACTGCTGTATCTAAAACGCTAGAATTTGAAAAACCTGACGAAAAATAAGCGTTTACTTGACCCAGCTAGGAACTTGCAAAAAAAAAAAAACAAGGGTAAAGAAGTAGGAAAATAATATATAACATTTAAACAAAAAAGTGACCTTCGTGGGAATCCCTCGGCGTACCGCCCAGCCAGCTGTGAAAGCCACCAAGGTGATCGAAAGAGAGAGATCACTGATGGAGCAAAAACAGAGAGGAGGTTCTTAAAGGCACGTTTCAAAACACGTTTGTGAGCGCACAAAACCTACGATTCTGACTCCGATCTTGCTGACTCTTCTGAGGCTTTGTTCTCATTGCGGGGTGTAACACGACCTCCAGAATCGCCACACCTGGCGTCCAGTTTTCGGTAAACACCAACGCCACCAACATCATAACATCTGCGGAGATGGCTCTTGGACGCTATGGCAGTACTACGCTAGTGAACATTGACTCTAGTTTTGCGGCCTTGCTTCTTTTTAGTGGTCTGGCAAATACGCATAACTTACAAGTGGAAGCTGTACACTGCTTTCAGTACGGAATGGATAAAAAATACATGTGTGCTGGTTTTTTACTCGCACACTTCTTACCATGTCCACACGATTCTCGAGCGTCAGCAATTCTAAATGATTGAAAACATTCTTACACATTGAAAAATAAAACTAATTTGACGCTGATTCCGCTTAAGAGGCCTATTGCAACGTGCCCACGAATTCGACAGCAACAGCGAACTCAAGAAAGAATGTGCGGCTTGGAATCACATAAATACGGTAATTTTCCTTCGATGACCCCAGACAGCTGGCGAGTTTTCCAGACAGAAGCGAAAACGCAGGGCTTGGAAGTCGCGCAGTTCCATGCATTCGCCGCGCCGGGACCATAATCTGATAAACGTCATCGGAAGGTTCACTCTCGGCGCATCACTCGCCACCGCTATCTTGGTGGTTGCCATGACAACGACTGAGGACAGCGAGATGTCGTGGTCTGAACTTGTGTTCGCCGTCCAATCATGTGCATGAAGTGCGTTCGTCTGTTGCGCAGAACTTCGTAGGGGACCAGCAAGACGTGTCAATTCGCAGTGCGAGTTTGAAGGAGGCCGGAGACGCTACGCATGTCCCGCTTAAAGACAAAAGATTTGCTAAGCCTCGTTGTCCCGATGCGTTGCTGCGAGCTATCCAATTAACCTATGCAGGAGACCTTCCTTCGTTTCGGATTGGAAATGGTCCGTGAGTATGGCTCCATGCTTTTCATTCCATCTTCTCGCCTTGTGCAATGTTTTCTTGCGCAGTATAAATTATATCGAAGGGCTCGTAAGAATGCACATCTAATGGCGACCTACAGCGGCGCTGTTTTTGTCTATTGGTGCTGCCTTTCAGTTTATTTGGACGGCCGCTAGAGTTACAAGTCAAGAGCGTTGTTTATTGAGCGATAATTACGTGAGCCGGTTGCTTCTGTGCCGCTACTTTTCACGAATTACCCCGATGCTCATGTGTCGCTAGTGGCCTCACGCCTTGTTGGCTGGGTCCCTGTGGATTTAGAGCCTTATAAAAAACCAGCCCGTCTCGTGCTCATAGCGCGCTTTCAGGGCTAGTGTGTGTTTCGGGGCAGTCATTCATTTGCGCCTATCAATTGGCGAACGAAGTCCGTGGTCCCGGAAGTTGTGGCATGCGCTGTTTGTGGTTATTGCGATTATGTATTACTCTCCTCGCTTTCGCGAGTATGTAGAAAAAAAATGATACCAAGGGGTTACAGAACAAGCTGCCCGAGGCTTTATGCCAACGCTTTTCTCCACCGCGGGAAGGTTTTCATACGCTGTTCGTTGCAGTCGCTGTCATTACGCATTGGTCATAACGCCGACCTGAATTCGCGTTTGTGATCCACCCGCAGAAACTTTGAAATCGCGTGCGGCCCGTAATCCGCCTTTGCGGCGACTCGAGTGTGCGTCCGCCTTTGCGGATGACACATGCTATTTGAATACCTGTGTGGCCCTCATACGCAAACGCACGCCCGCAACACCCGCTATAGAATAGCGTATTCCTACGAAAAGTCCCCATTGAAGCACGAAATTAGCGTATCCTTTCCCATGAACCATAACCCCGCTTGCACTATTGTGAAATGGCCTGCTATGAAGCCTGCTGTCTGAATAAGCACTCCCTGAAATATAATGTACGCACAGCTTTGCGTCAGCATTTGTTGACACTGCACATACGTCCTTGGGCCGTTTTAAAACAGAGTACAAGATATTTAGCGTTAGCGTAGACTTATATTTTAAATGAACGGTGAAGCACGCGAGTGGGTGCCCTGTGCGATTCGGAGGTTGCTTGCAGCGCGTTCAAGCGAGAGAGGGAGCAACCACAGCCTCTTGGTCATGTCTGCTTGTGGCGAGCAAAACCAGGTTGCGGAAACTTTCTATACCTCCCATGTATTCGCTCTTGCACGATGATACGCAGCGGCAGCGCTGGTTTTACCGCCAAAGGTGTCCGGGCATCCTACAAGAAATAAATCACGAACAGAAAATTTCTTTCTTGACGTCACTTGTTACGTCCCACAATAGAGGGAAAAGTTGAAATGTTGAGAGGAGGGTCACCGCGGATGCCCTCCTTTCCCACTTCGCACGCCAGCGGAATGCGCTTGTTCTCAGGTCCGCTTGCCGCTTGGACGATGCAGTAACTGTTCATAAAATTTTGTTAATACTTTTTTTTCTAATTTAGTTCGAGTTTTCTGAAGAGGTGGTAGTTAAGCTGGTTGATGTCTCAGTATACGACGAAGCTCAATCGGCAGTAATGAAATGAACTCTTTTGTTACACGTTTCGTATAAAATACTCATACACATATTGTGAAAGTGTCAATCTATAAAATCAGCCTTAACTTACAATTGGCACATGAGCATATTAGGAAACATTGAACCCAGAATAGCATAACCAATGCGAAAATTATCAACAATTCTGAGTAGAACACGTCGTATTTCACTCAATCACGTTTGTTTTGACAGCCTTCACAGTTTTCCTACAGAATTTGGGTACCGAACGAGACTGAAGTTCAGAGGCACGGAAAGGCTTGACGCGATCAGTAGTTTTTCGAGAAATGACGTAACTGGAAACCGTGTTTCGGCAAGTTGACTAGGCCTCGTCAGGGCAACGGCATCACCGTGACGAAGTCAGCTTATCGAAACGTTGGCCTCATCGACAGTCTCTGTGGTAATATTTATAAGTATTTAGTCCGTTTCGTGCAGCTGAGTGACAGCTAGTAGTAAAGACTCGCAAAACATCAAAGAGCGCCTAGAAAAATTATGAGCAGGTAGCAGCCAATCATTACTTGACATCATTTAAACTACACGCCAAAAGTATGAGAAGCTAAAGCTATATAGCCGAGCCAACTAAAAGGATAGCCTTTCTTTAAACGCATTTCCCTGACAGGAGCTTGGCTGTCGTCTTCACTAATTAAGCAAGCGACACTCCACTTCTGGTAGTCCAGTCAGACACCCAGAGAACTGGGTTTACTCGTGGACTCGTGCACAATCGATGCCTGCTCAAATAATGGGTCCAAGTTCTTGTGCTCACCGTTGCCTTTAGGAAACGCTGAGACACCTTCGCAGAATTAGAAATCACCGGATTAGCACACCGCAGAGCCGCGGAAAACATGCGTTGCCCGATTAGGCCGTTTTCGAATAATCCGTGGTTCACTTGTTCGGCGTCACTCATTGTGGCTTACGTTCCCTTCCCGCCACCACTTGCGGTCTTTATCTTTCCTGTAGTTGAAATGCACGCCAACCTAGCGAGATAACTGAGCGCAATCTAATTTGTAATATTGCTGAGCGAGGGGCGAGAAGGAGAGGAGGCAAGCGCTACAAACTCAAGCCAATCACTTCACTCGCCTCACATGATTTATAATTAACTAAATAAGGATTACGAAAACATATATAAACAACAAAGTTCTTTACGCTGTATCATTTTTTTTTGTGAAAACTTGTGAAAGCCAATAGATGCGAACATTCACAATAAGCTAACTCTGTTCAGCCGGATCTGAGGATGCCCAGCAACCACTACGATCGTGCATGTTCATTGAAACCAAAACTAGTGCCGAATTTCTGGACCCTGGCAGAACTACAAGTCATCGTTGATAGTGAACCGGCCGCTGGATTTCAAACCCCTTCCGCTTCAAGGCGATAACGCCCCATGCGGCCATCAGCGTAAGAGGCTGGCCGGGCGGCACATCGGCTTTTCTCAACAAGTGATTCGAACAGCGCCAACTGCTTTAGTTACGCGTATTTGAAAGAATCTCCAACCTATTCCAGAACTTTCCTCCGTTCAATGCTCCGATGAACAGTTGCAGTGTTTCAGAGTTAAATGTTACGCTGAAAAACCTCCTTTGCCTCGACAAAGTCGATGGCAGCGCCGGCCAGAAGGCGTCGCTGCTTATTAGCGATAATAGGCAGCAAAAGTAAGGCGCACTGCTTCATTTTCAGCCGACGCTCGGTGCCAAACCGATCTGACTCATGTGAAGGACAAACTTCCAGTCGAGGATTGTTTGAAAACTCGGATCTTGATCGTCTGAACGTGAAGGCGATGTCATCGCCAGGGAGGGGAAGGAGTTTCCGGACTCTAGAGAAATTTTCTACTGTATGAACAGCTACATACGCACGTGATGAACACACAGCGCTGAAACACGCACAATCATCGCACGCATTCAACATGCATACATGCATACATACATGCATGCATGCATACATACGTACGTACGTATGTACATGCATGCATACATACGTACGTACGTACATACATGCATGCATACATACATACATATATACATACATACATACGTACGTACGTACGTACATACATACGTACGTACATACATACGTACGTACGTACGTACATACATACATACATACATACATACGTACATACATACGTACATAAGTACGTACGTACGTACGTACGTACGTACGAACGTACATACACGAAGTTTGTGCTGAAAATGGCGCTAGTACTCCAAAGTGGCATCTACATTAAAAAAAGTGAAGTTGACTCTTTCAATCAGCGGTATTTTATTGAAGAATATCACGTTTTTTCGTGTGATTGTTCAAGCTTGAGTTATTTACCACAGCCAGCGTCTTGGAACTAAAATAGAGCGTGACTGTACATACATACGTAACATAAGACTGGACTCATCCCCCCCTCTCCCATTTGTGAGAAAAATATTAGCTATGCTCCTGCTGCAGAGTGGTGATGAGCCTTTGCTTTGATGACATTTAAATACTTGGACGTTCCCAGTCGACAGTAATGGTACTTAAAGCTGTCGTTCATTTTGTTCACATAATCGTCACCGATTTTGCACAGAAATCGATTCTTGGTGGACGAAAGCCCCTTTCATTGTATTCGTTTAGCCAGCTTCGATTTGGTGCAATGGTGGCAGTTCAGTTAAACGGATAGCCTCCACTGCGGTGGTCTAGTGACTTATTTACACCGTTGCTGACCCGCAGGTTGTGGAACCCGATCCCGGCTGCAGCGGCTGCGTTTTCGACGGAGGCGAAAATGCGGTCAGCCAGTGTGCCCAGATATAAGTTCCCGTTAAAGAACCCCAGGTGGTCGAAATTTCCGGAGCCTTCCGCTACAGCGTCTCTCATGCTCATATGGTAATTTTCGGACTTTAAACAGCACGTATCAATCAATATAAAACGCCTGGAAGCAGAAAACTTTTGTGCGAGTCAGTGAATTTCACGTAAGAAATATAAAATGTTTGGACTTGCCTTTGCGGTCGAAGCTTAATGGTTACTGTCATGATTAGGAAACCGTGGCTATATGCAACATTTTTGTGAAAAATGTTGAAAATAGAGGAAAGGATAAAAATTGTGACCAGAATTTAAACACCGACAAGCAGAAATCCTTTATACTAGTCGGTGGCTTCGACGTAGAAATAACGGACCTTGATACCTATTGTCACCCACTCATCACTCACCTCCTGGAGGTTCGATAATTTTTATTGGTCATCATGCACATACTAGCAATCATTAATATAATTGAAAGTAGGTGTGATCGAGTACTTAAATTTCATCGCAAGTGCAAGTTGAGTTAAACAGTGCTGAACTGCAGCCACAAATATTGAATTTAACATTGATTGAATTTAAAAATACGAGCCACTGACAACGCTAATGTTCTTCATCGTCATCGGAGGCCTGGGCCCAAAAATTTCCAGGTGCGCATTTTCAGCAGCGTCTTAAGGGAGGTGCCGGAACCATGCGAGTTTTTTAACGAGTTGGGCGGGGCTACAGGGGCAACTGGAGAAAAAAGGTTTTACGCCATACATTGACGTTTGTTACCTTTTCTTTCGCGATGCACTTGTTCACGACGAGGAACGCTTAAATTTCTGTACCATGGGGCACATTTTCTCGCTTCGGAGGCCTTTAGACAATCTTCGGACTGTATGTGTTCATCCCCATTGAGGCGTACGGAGAGAGCAGCAATACGCAGCCTCTTTGGTACTCATTCTGAGTATACTATCGTCACTTCGTTGTACTCTATCCTTCGCCTGGGACAATCGGCGTGGTTCAGGGGCATTTGTTGTGTGCGTAGCGTGTCGTGGCAATGGAGTTGGCTAGGGCGCGAATCAGTCGAGGATTGTAATATTCTGTGGAGCATACGGTGACTGACGCAGGACATGGCGGAGGATACGCAAGGTGTGCAAAATCACCTGCCATCAAGGCAGCCTTGGGCGGCACACGCAGCCACGTCGGAGTGCTGTTAGTAGTTGTTTCATGAAGGGCATCTTGGTGATGAGCACAAAGATTCGTCAATCGAAACTGGTGATGCTTCGACTGACAAGGTAAATTCAACTACTGATAAAGAGTTACCACCTCAACACTAGCAATCCACTTCGGCTTGAACACTCCATGATTAGAAGTGTACGGCTGTACACAACTCTAAAACAATCATGCACTGGCGGGACAAAGGGAGAACGAAGAACGATGAAGACACATGAAATCTATGGTGGGGTGATAAAAGTTCGATGCTCGAAAGTGCTAGTGCTGTACCAGTTATACGATGAGCCAGGCAAACTTCTCCCGCGAGCACTGGAAGCATTCACTTTCCTCTGCAAGACATAATTGAAATTGCGCAACACTGATCTATACTTCAGAACATGTATTGTCACTTACTCCAGGGTAGATGTCGTCATGCCCCTTATCTTTGAGAAGGATACGGGATACACTAACACAAATGAACTTGCAATCAAAAGATGGAAGACAGTGCCTCTTGAAAAAGATATTGGCATGGCAACGTAGTCAGCGCGTATATTTTTACAAGGGCAAGTTGCTGGAATGGACGTTATCATCGTAGAATACAGATTACTTGTGCGCGGCGACCCCTTGCGACAGAAGGCTTCAATGCCAGCAATTGCTGCTCCGTTGTCACGGTCCGGTAAATGAACATCATGTATTCTGGCATAATGTCTGTGGAGCGAATATTTTTACATGTTGGTTGTATGGTTGCCACGTAAAATGAGGGCAGATTGTCTTTTAGGACCTGAATAGTTGTGCCACGGTGGAAGTGCCTGGTGTATCCTATTTGTACGACGCAAAGCCAGAATCTTTTTACATGAGCTTGTAGTGTTTTCCTGCGGAATGGCTTCCCTCAAGCAAAAAAAAAAAATGTTGGCACCATGAGCCATCATGGTGCTCTAGCATAGTCGCCGACCGAAGAAACGAAACTGATTTTACGCTTGACGTATTTGGATTGTGGAATTATGGCGAGCGCTAGGCATGTCGTAGCTTTCTTGGCTGTGTTGAATGCGTAGTTGGTAGTGGACGTTTATCGAAGCGAAGAAATAATGTGGTGCAACATTTCAGTAACCTAATGACAAAAAATCCTGGGTGCAAACAGGGGTGAAAAGAATCACAAAAGCTGCGAGTTGAAAGTCTACAAATTCTCACAGCTGTGGTGTAGACGTTAAGCGTGGTGTTTCTTCCTGAAGCACTAGCAAGCGCAGCTGCGAATCACGTTGTTTAGGAGACAAAATGCAACCGGCTGGTCTCCTATATTTGACAGAGGAAATTTATTCTATACAAATAAACATGCAAAAAATACAGAAACCTTTGCGTTGAGGTTCGCAATGGCATACGCAAGTGATTCAAGAGGGCAATTCGGGTAGCAGCTGCGGTTGGTCAAGTATAAATAGGCTCTTGAAAGGACTGGCGGCAGGCAATGTCAAGATTACATTTGTTGTTAGCACCACTAAGGGACACCAGGGGATAACGAATCGTGACACTATTGAAATTCAGCGGCGCAGTGAACGCGCTGACTGACGTTATTTCCCATGCTGCCGTTTGGTAATCATGTGGGAAGCCAAAGACCATTTGCTCGAACGTATAAGAATCATGAATCATCCGATGAAATTTGATATGGTGAAAAACGGAATCCGCCAAGAACGAGGCGTTGCAGTCAACAGTAAACTGAAGTTGCCGCGGTGGTTAGGACGCTGCTAGTAATGTTGCGGATGAAATACTGGACGAGCCTAGGGTTCCAGGTTCAGGTTATCAATGAAGTCAAATTTGGCGGTGTTATAACGGTGAACATGACGGGAAGTATGGCGATGGAGAGTTCTTCTGACGTGTCATGCGGAAAACACGACAGCAATGAGATTGTCGGCTGAGTTGGCGCCGTCGGCCCGCTAGGGGCGCTGGTGCGTCACACGTTATGTTGTAAAGATTCCGCAGTGTCTTGGAGCCAATGGCCCTTAGAGATCAGACGCCAGTTGTACGTAGTTTAGGCTGTGCACCAGTTCTTTTTGAATTCCCCTTTCTTTGTGTGTTAGAAAACCTCTCGTGCGTCATTTTAACTTCACCACTTTTTCATTTCCTGTTCTTTCCCTCTACCCCATTGCGCAGCCTAAATGTCATCTCTTTGTTTGTTGGCGTCATCTGTTCAGCTCTTTAACTTCAAATGAAGCCTGGGGCATAGCTACTTCTACAAAAATATTTCGGCCAAGTTTTTCACGCAAGTTTCTCAAGCAAGAAAAAGAAACACCACACATACGAATAACATTGTTACAGTGTAAAAACACTGAGAGCTGTTGCAGTCTTTGGTGTATCTTGATTTCTGTGGCTTGTGTATTGCAGATCGCTCCTCAGCGCCACTGGCCATAGAAGCAAGACAGTACGTGGGCCGTGAACATATGGGCAAATGGGCAACGGCTATGATCTAATAAGCAAGAAGGCGGTGAGAAGAGTGCCATATGCTTTCTCTTTTCTCTCTTTACGTCACAATCGCTCGATTCAGGCTTTTCTATAGCTACACTCGGATCCAGGTGGATACTGAGATTGTGTTGCTTTAGTGCAAATATGTGGTGCGATTCCTTTTGTCACATCTACGCCAAGCTCTGCGCGAACAATGGTGTTTCAGGTTGCAGAAGCCTGAGACGCACAATTTGAGTGACAAATCAGGTAGCCTTCCACTGGCTTCTAAGTAGTTGATTCCTTTTGTCACATCTACGCCAAGCTCTGCGCGAACAATGGTGTTTCAGGTTGCAGAAGCCTGAGACGCACCATTTGAGTGACAAATCAGGTAGCCTTCCACTGGCTTCTAAGTAGTTGTTGGGTAGCAAGGAACAGACTCATCGGGCGGCTTGTTCTAACCATACCATTGAAAAGAATATCAAATAATAATTCCTCTCTCTAACACTGACGTTGACCGGAAGCTATAAATGCTCGCTCGTGAACGCCCCACGTCGCACTGGAATGAGTCGCATATGCACGCATGATTATATACCCGATAGATCCATCTGTATTCGAATACCTCCAGGACTTCACCGAGGTGGTGCCACCCTGCTGTGCCGTTTATGGTAGGGTGTCACATTAAGCAATGCGTACGTGCACCGCAATGGAATGGCTGGCACTGCAGCATGTGGTCAATGAAGCAGCGGCGAAACAATTCAGCATATATATTCAGTGCGAATGCGTGTAGTACTGCACGCAGGGACAGTCGCTCTGCATTGCGATCAACTGGACGAGCAGACTGTTTCGGTGGAAATAGTCCTGTGCCACAGACAGGAGAAGGCTGTGCAGGTGCTCCTGCGCTTTGTGTAGTCAACTGGTCTCTCCAAACTAGCCTGATTGCAACGCCCCGCATCAGTGTGCATGTGTGTTTTTTTCTTTTTTATTCGTGTCTCTGTCTGTCTATCCTCTTTTCGATTCCTGTTTTCCTTCTTTTGTGCAGGGTAGCAAGCGGGTTCTTATTTATTTATTTATCTTATTTAACAACACTGCCAATCTCATCAGAGATTATAGCAGGGAAGGCATATGAAAACGAATATTTTCTTTACACAGATTCATATTGATAGAAAGCACAAAAAAGCCGGAATTAGAAAATGACACGCCAATCATAGGTAATGCATTGTTATTAAAGAATACGCAATCACACAGTTTTAGTAATAGCAAAATCATGAACAAGGTTATCGTTAAAAACGACCGCGAAAAGATAATGCATGCATTTGTAATATGGGGTAGAGACAACAAGTAGGCATTTTTATTGAACAATTTATTCAAAAAATTTTATGAACAATAAACTAATCGAAAAATATGTCGCTTGAAAATAACGATCATAAAAAACAAAACTTTTGTATTAGCAATTGAACACTGACTCGTTTTTTGGGTTTATTGGTGATGGGATGTTGTTAGTGCTATTTGCGAGGCGAGCAATTCGCTTTCAATCGCAGCTGTAAACAAGTTAATGGATGATTCAGTGCTTAAGATGAGTTTCAGCGAGTTCCAATCTTTAATGGTTAAAGGAAAAATGAGTATTTAAAGCAATTAGTCTTAAAAGAGTATTCTAGAAGAGTATGGAAATGATTATGCTGGGTTGATCTGTCGTGAAAAAAAAAAGATACGTTGAGGTGTCTTTTTTATTATGTTGTAGAGTAGTTGAAACATTACATTTAGTCTTGTTAGCTTTGTTCTGTTTTGTAGTGTTAGAATGCCAGCGTTATGGAGTAGGTGCGCCAGTGAGTCTGTCAGTCTATACTTGTTGAAAATAAACCTTATTGCATTTGTTTGAATATCTTGTATTTTATTAGTCTGTTGGTGGGTATACGGGAACCAGACAGGGCTGGCATATTCTAATATAAATCTGACGAGGGTAGTATCAGCTATTAGTTTGGTATTTGGTGGTGCGTGCTTAAGACGTCTTTTGAATAAAAATGGTCTTTTATGGCTGTCCCAGTAATATTATCAATGTGGATATCCCATCTCAGGTCGTTTGAAAATGTTATTCCTAGATATTTGTGGCTAGAGACTGTGGCTAAAGGGCAGTTGTCAATAGTGTAAGAAAAGTTGGACCTGTGTTTTTCGCGAGTTATTGTCATGGAGACACATCTACCATTATTGAGGGACATCTGCCATTTTTTTGCACCACGTGTGTGCATCTTCTAGTGCTCGGTTAAGAATTAGGTGATCCGTTGGAGTATTAATTTCCTCGTAAAGTACGCAGTCATCTGCAAAGAGCCTTAGTTTTACTTCAGTTGAGAGGGGCAGATCTATAATGAATATTGTGAATAATATTGGTGCTAAGACGCTGCCCTGTGGCATGCCTGACGTGACTGCTGCTATTCTAGAGGTGGTGTCTTGTAACTGTACAAATTGTGAGCGATTAGTTAAGTAATCCTTGATTTAGCAAACAATGTTGCTATCTCCAAGGATAACTTCTAACTTACTTATTAATTTTGTAGGAGAAACACAATCAAATGTCTTTGAAAAGTCTAAGAAGATCAGGTCTATTTGTTTATGGTTATTAATATACTGGGCTGCATCGTGTAATAATTCTAAAAGTTGAGTAACCGTTGAAAAGCCTTTTTGAAAACCGTGTTGTACAGGAGACAGGATATTTTTTTCTAGGTAAATAGTTATGTGTTTCAATATCATATGTTCTAACAATTTACGCACAGAACAAGTTAGTGATATTGGCCTGTAATTTGAAACCATGGTTTTGCTGCCTGCTTTGCGTATTGGTATAATTGTTGCGGTTTTCCATACTGCGGGGATAGTGCATAATTGCAGTGATTTATTAAAGAATACACATAAATATTTAGCTACCCGTTCCGCATAACTTTTAAGGAAGATGTTTGATATGTTGTCAGGTCCCGGGCCCTTCTTGGTATCGATATTTATTAGTAGATCAAGCACGCCTTGCTCGGTAATTCTGCGGCGGCTGCATTTCCGATGGAGGCGGAAATGTTGTAGGCCCATGTGCTGAGGTTTGGGTGCACGTTAAAAAACCCCAGGTGGTCGAAATTTCCGGAGCCCTCCACTATGGCGTATCTCATAACCAAATGGTGGTTTTGGGACGTTAAAGCCCACATATCAATCAATTGCTCGGTAATTGTCAAGGGTTCTATTGGTGAATGGTCTGAAGAGTGTATGAGTGGTACGATTCCGTCATCTACGGTAAAAACTGATTGAAAGTAATCATTGAAGGAGTTGGCGAGATAGTTGTTGTCGTCAGAGGAACGCATGAGCTCATCATCTTTCTTTGGATTTATATATTTCCAAAATTTATTTGGAGCGCTTATCAAAAATGTGGGAAGTATGTACCAGCTTAACCTTTCTATAAGTTTCTTTTATTTATTTATTTCACGCACTCCTAATTTCCTCACATAATTTCTTGCACCATGATTCGCAGAATGCAAAAAAAAAAACGAGAAAAATATCGTCTAAACCCACGTATAATTAGAATCGATAATATGCGAAGCATGAAGGAAGAAGGTTGATATGTCACAATAAAATCAGCCTAATGTTACCAGGCACACGTAAATTATGCCGTACATGACTTTATTGGTATGATTAACATGCTTGCACCGGTAATATACCTTCGTACCCATTCAGGTCATGTAATACCAAAGCCCCGCCGCGGTGGTCTAGTGGCTAAGGTACTCGGCTGCTTACCCGCAGGTCGAGGGTTCGAATCCCGGCTGCGGCGGCTGCATTTCCGATGGAGGCGGAAATGTTGTAGGCCCGTGTGCTCAGATTTCGGTGCACGTAAAAGAACCCGAGGTGGTCGAAATTTCCGGAGCCCTCCACTACGGCGTCTCTCATAATCATATGGTGGTTTTGGGACGTTAAACCCCACATATCAATCATGTAATACCAAATTTGATATATAAGGTGTTTTTATTTTCTAAAATGCAAAATTCACTTCAAATGAACTTGAGAAAAACGCAGTTTTTTTTTCTACTGACGATTTGGTTGGGCCTGCTAGAACATCTTTTTTCCAGTATGTTCATCTCCCCTAAATATTACAAATCTATCTTGTGACAAAAAACTACATAGCCAAATTTGTCAGTATTGTGGAGTAAAGTTTGCATTTGAGTAATATAGAATAAAACAGTTCATTTGGACATAAAATAGCTTTTAAAATAAGAGTAAAACGATCCGAATGTATAGTAAAGCCATATTTTGAGATAGAATTCACCTCATACTTGTGCTTCCGTTGGTGCCCTGCTTCGACGCATGGGTGTCATGGCGATTGCCAGACTTTAAAAGTGAGTGGTCCGTCCTGGCAAAGGGGGCACTACTCTGGACTGTCATCTGTGTTTTCTTGTTCCCGGGCATCAATTGAAGTCCTTGAAAAGTGTTTCAGTTAGTTTTATGTCATGCCATTGCTTACCACTTCTTTTAAAGAAATAGACAGACGCCCAATATTTTTATTTCATGCCTATTCTATTTCAAATATACCGTGTTGGAGGCAGTTGAAGACAAGATACTATTGTGCTAAAGTCGAAAATAATCATTAATATGGATAAAGAGGTAAACAAGTCAGCCTCTTGCGCTTTAAAATCGAGTTTTGTCATTAAACGTGTCCTTCAGTAAGTGCCAACTCACTCTAGAACACCTATTTTGGAACGTAAACACAACAAAGCCACTAATTCAAAAATGAAACATTGTGGGTGAGACCATGTTGATTATTTTGATCATGTTTATTGGCACAGTGCTGGTTAAATGAATGTCGCTCACTTTCATTGAAACAGTTGGAGTACGTGGCTTATTTCTGATTAGAAACTGAATTTTTCAGCTCATGTTACAATGAGGAATTGCCCAACTTTGATTATAACTGTTTTGAAAATGGAAGATACTTAGGCATTCGTTACGTTCTAATGAAATTTAGCCTAGTTTCGCTTTCTGAATTTGGCCCTTTTAGAAAGAAGACACCTCATATGGGAAGCTAGGGAAACGACTGCGAGTGCATCATGAGCGTGGCATGTAGTCATGTTCTTACATGACACGCAGTAATAATCATCTTGTTTGCACCAGTCATATCCCTTCGTTATCTATTCACGTCACGTAATACCAAATTAGGTGTACGTGAAGCTCGCGAAACGGCCGCGAACGTATCTTGAGCGTGCTACGTTGTCGTGTTTTACATGGCACGCAGTAATTATGTTTGCACCAGTCATATACCTTCGTCACCCATTCACATCAGGTAATACAAAATTTGCTGTATGTGAAGCTAGCGCAATGGCCATGAACGCATCTTGAGCGTGCCACGTAGTCATCTTTTTACCTGACACGCAATAATGAGTATCTTTTTTGCACCAGTCATACACCTTCAACTATTCACGTCACGTAATACCAAATTCGGTGTATGTGATGTTAGCAAAACGGCCTCCAACGCATCTTGAGCATGCTACGTAGTCATGTTTTTACATGACGTACATTATTGATTTTCATGTTTGCACTAACCATATACCTTCGTCATTCATTCATGTCCCGTAATGCCAAATTTCGTGTATGTGAAGCTAGCGAAACGACCGCGAGCGCATGATGAGCGTGGCATGTAGTGGTGTTCCTACATGACACGCATGCCATAATTATGTTTGCAGCAGTCATATATCTTCGTCATTCATTTACTTCACGTAATACCAGGTTTGTTATATGTGAAGCTAGCGCAACGGTAGCGATCGCACCTTTAGCGTGCCATGTATGCACGTTCCTACATGAGACGCATGTGCTGAACAGCTTGTTTACAGCAGTCGGATACTTTCGTCATCCATTCACGTCACGTAATACCAATTTTCGTACATTTCCAGCTAGCGAAACGACCACGAGCGCATCATGAGCGTGACATGTAGTGATGTTCTTACATAACACCCAAGTCTTGATTGTCATGTTTGCACCAATCGTACACCTTCGCATTTCATTCACGTCCTGTAATACCACATTTGGTATATGTGAAGCTAGCGAAACGTCCGCGAACGTGTCATTAGCGTGACGTGTAGTCATCACATGCATGTCATGATTTCCGCGTTAGGGCCTGTCACCTGGCTTCTGGCGACATTTTCCCCAAGGCACAAGGCCTGGGATAGTTGGGTGAGTCAACTTTGTCCCACCACAGCAGTGAATGAGAAGGGGAATGTGTCTTGTGTCGTATTCCCATCAGCCAGCTTCATCACAGCACGGGGTTCACACTCCTTTTGCGAGTCCTCTGTGCGCAGCACCTTTGTGATGCTGGACGCACACTTGTGGGGATGGTATACCGGATGGCGTGGACGTAGGGTGTGCCCCCCGGGTCACATATGGGCCAGCCATGTGTGACCAATTCGATTGTTCAGGCTCAGCTGAACCTATGCCACCAAGAGTACTTTCCCCTTTACGCGCTTCAAGGAGCTGCGCAGCAAGACTGAACGGCTACCTCAACACCGTCAAGTGTCGCCACTCGCAGAAACGTGGCAGAAAGCCAACCCACCGCTTATTGGACTCGGACCAATGGGCCTTTGTGGCACATCTTCCGTACGCAACGGGAGGGGGTTGGCAGCCCGCGCTTAGTTTGTGGGGTACCGGAGGGTACATGAACAATCATGTAGGTCCACTTTGGTGCCCCCTCGCTGCAGCCACTGACCCTCCAATTCCAGGTCAGCAACGTGAGCCCCCTCCCCCCGCCCCTCTTAGGCACTCGGGTATCTTAAAACACCCTCACTTTGTGCGTGATGCACCACGTGGAGGTGAAGGGGGCGCTGTGATTCGAGAGGTCGCGGCTCCTACTGGGCTGGATTACATGGGCAAGCGACAACCCGAACCATCCCGGCACCTCTGAACCACGAATGGATTTGAATCATTTCCGTACCAGTAGCGAGAGATTCCAAAACCCGTGTCGCGGCCTTCTAGTTGGCTGGATTATATGGAGTCACGAGTTTCCCCGGCCATAGTGATACGTAATCAAAACCTCGCAAGAAAAGCAATCTTATGCTGAGGCCTCCTAGAAGTTCGATTACAAGTGCTTACCAAATCACCCAGCCAAGTCAGCACAGTTCCTACCCAACTGGAGTCCAACCAGTGGGTGAAGTTGGAGCTCTTCCTTGGACGCTCGCCAGTTATAATCAATTCATGACCGGCATCTTCTCAGCGTCACCTGTTGTGCAATACTTCATATGAGTGAAAACACCGATATAGCAGCAAACTATGACATGTAAATCATGACATTCATGTCATACATATGATTTTTATGCTATGACTAGTCACTCACGCTCGTCATAAAGTGATAGTATGTCATACGAATTTTCGTACAGATCTCATTATCAAAACGGCAAGGAGAGAGCTGGAAGTCGTAGGCGGCCAGATAGATAAATAGATAGATAGATAAATAGATAGATAGATGGATAGATAGATGGAAAGATAGATAGATGGATGGATCGATAGATAGATAGATGGGTAGATAGATGGATAGATAGATAGATAGATGGATAAATAGGTAGATAGATAGATAGATGGATAGGTAGATATAGGTAGATAGATAGATAGATATAGGTAGATATAGATAAATAGATAGGTAGATAGATAGATAGTCTCTGATGTTTTCTAAAATGCTCCTGCAATTTCAGGTGGTCGAAAGTTCCGGAGCCCTCCACTACGACGTCTCTAAACATATGGTGGTTTAGGGACGTTAAACCTCACATATTAATATTAAAAATGCTTCTGGAAAATGTCGTTGTTTTTCCACGAGGTGAAGCGTTCCTTCTTTAGCTTACCCGTATTGGCGGATAAAGTCGCAAGTTACTCACTTTTTCTGGACCTCCCCATGATCATTGAGAAAAGCTGCTCAGTGCCAGGACGTTTTAATCAACATTATTATTATTATTATTATTATATTATTATTATTATTATTAAAATTATAATATTATTTT